GTCTAGATTAACCAGTCTGAACCCTGGGGGTCTAGGATAAGCAACTTGAACCCCCCGGTCTAGGTTAAGTTTTCTCTTTTTTAAAATTTCGGGATCGGGACAAATCACGTGATTTCAGTCTTTAAGTGTCGCGCACTGTATTAATAAAAATTTTTCTTGGCAAAAGTGATCGGCGTGACAAATTGTCACGCGTGATTTTGAATGCTTGTTAAGGAATTTTATTGATCATGTCAGTTAGCAAAGCTAACCCATCTGAGCTTGAAACATTGAGACAACGCGTTACCGAGCTTGAGGCTAAGAACACTGATCAGCAAGCTTGAGGCGGGCTAGTCCCAAAATTTTTGTATTTATTTTTGTGTTACATCAACGTTACAACTTAATAAAAAAAATTACTGGAGGTAATACCTCGTTTTCGTTCACGTTCGACATCATGAACTGATCGCCAAATTAACATCAAGTCCGGACGTCCGGTGTCCTAAATAGGATATGATCAACATGATCTTTTAAATCCCACAATTTCATATTTCAATATAAATAAGTGCAGATTCCATTTGTCTATTTTTTTAGTGTTTACACTCCCTCTTATGAATGAGATGATGAATGTGATTGATGTCTATAGGGTGACACTTTTCTTCATGTCTTCGGATAATCTAGTCTTTCTTCATAAGTGGTAATATATTAAATCGGGTGGGAAATAGGGAATAACTTTGTAACGTTTAAGTATTTGTAATTCCGATACACAAAAATTTTCGGACAAGCAAAACTTTTCTTTTTTTGTTTTTTTACACGTAATAAAATTATTCATCAAAATGTCAAGTTATCGAATCTTTTACGCGTACTTTATTATGTTTTACGTATTTTTACTTGAAAAAGAATCCAAAAAAGTTAACATTAGAATTTCTCTTTTTACGTGTGCTTCAACAGTGTAAACGATCTTGATTTCAAATACTTTATCCTGTTCAACAAATTGACGAAATGGAAATACTCCGCCACCAACACCAAAATAAATTGATTTTGCCGCGATTAATCTGTTTTTACGTAAACTAAGAAATATTATATAAAATAATTGTCTAAATAATAATAATAATAATAATAATAATTTTACACAAAAAGGATACGCTATGCCACTCGGTCGCCTTAGTGAGTGCTTGATTACATCATATAGTTTTGGTATTGAATCTGCATTGTATATTGTTTCTGAAGTTAAGATCAGATCATATTTTTCTTGTTCAGATTCCAAATTCATAATATCCTAAACGAATAAACTTTCATTTAATATTTCTACCAAAAAAAAAAAAAAAAAATTCCAAATTATAACAATGATAATAAATCCTTACGGTCAGCCCACTCCAATCTCCTATAAAGAACCTACTTTTCTTCAATTGATCTAATAGATTGGCATCTTCCGAAACGTATATCTCTGCAGTACCATTAGAAAACTCTTGTTCGTTGTTTGGACATAATAAAGTATTGAGCAAGATATTTGGAATTGTCACTAATTTTATCACTTGTTCATTGTAATCCTGGAAATCTACTCTAAGTGGACTTTTGGTAGTAAGTATATATATCCCTGGGAGCGAAGATCCACAGCCAAGCTTACCAATTATACAGTGGTTAGATTCATATTATTATTTTTTTTTTTAATATGAAATGAACAAAGATCAATGTTCCAAACCTCTAAAATTTTCTTTCCTTCAAATTCAAAATTATTTGTATTTTTGGCAAGAAATTCAAGAAGGTCGAATGCACCCTCCCAAGTTTTTAACCCGCCTAACAATTTAAAAAATTTCATGATTCAGTAATTAAATTCTAATTTAATCTTTCAAATAATATTGAATACCTTCATAAACTCCTTGAACTACATCATTATCTGTTGATAATATCAAAATCTTGGTATTTTCATTCTCACTTGTTTCTAGTAATTCATCTTCTTGTGCTATCTGAAACTTGACATCAGAAAGATGTCTTTTATAAAGAATGGATTGTTCGTAGGTAGAAAAGAAAATGCGTTCAACTATCAAATTTGGAGGAAGTATATCGCTCTAATTTAAAAGAATAATTATGTTATTTTTTTTTTTTTTTTTTTTTTAAAAAAAAAAAGGTAATATACTTATAACTTTTTTATCTTTCAGTTATTTACCAGATTATTAAGAATTAATTCGTTAGGAGGAATAGATGGTTTAAACCCAGGATGTTTATCGATCCTTAAGGACTCGTCGTCCAAGAAACCTTGAATCGTTGATTCCTCATTTTTTGGAAGCTCATGTCCTTCTGACTATCAATTTGGTGAAATAAGGCATATTATAGGTAAGGCCCGGATAAAGTTATTAAAACGAACAATAAAAGAAAGTACCGAAAAATTGAACCGAAAAGACATTTTAGACAAGTTAGAAAAGAATAATGCGAAAATAAACAATTGAAAATATTTTTGGTTATCACATGTTAATTGTAACAAATAAGGTAATAATATTACGTTGGGCGTTTTTAACCTTATTTCGCGCTTTATAACATAATTTAAGTGTCGACTTAAATTTTTTGTATTAATGGCTTCTAATAAGATTAGAATTGGTCAATATAATGTATTACAAACCCTTGGAGTGGGCTCCTTTGGCAAAGTTAAAAGTAATTTATTTTTTATTCGTTTACATCTAACGAAAGCTTTTCGATCTTTTAATTTTTGATCTGATATATTTTCCGAATCTAGTGGCCGTTCACTCCATAACTGGTCATAAGGTAGCCATGAAATTTATCAATAGGAAAAAAATTGCAAATTTGGACATGGTTGGAAGGGTGAAACGCGAAATTCAGTACCTTAAGTTACTCCGACACCCTCATATAATAAAATTGTAAATAATTTATATATGATGTGCCAGATAGTTGTTGGTTTATTGTTAATTGTTTGATAAATCAATTAATTATTTGATTTCAGATATGAAGTTATTACAACACCAACCGACATTATTATGGTAATGGAATATGCCGGAGGCGAGTTATTCAATTTTATTGTTGAAAAAGGCAAGGTAATTTTTTTCAACGAAATTATATTTAATCTTATAATTCTCAATTTTTACTGAATTGGACTTTTTATTTCTAGATGTCGGAAGATGATTCTCGAAGATTCTTTCAGCAAATTATTTGTGCTGTTGAATATTGTCATCGACACAAAGTTGCACACCGAGATTTAAAACCTGAAAAGTAATATTTTATAAAATTTAAAAACCTTTGTAAAAAAAATGCTTTTAAACACGAGCTAATTTTTGATATCTCGAAAAGTCTTCTTTTGGATCCTTATCAAAATGTAAAAATCGCGGATTTCGGATTGTCAAATATAATGACCGATGGAGAATTTTTGAAAACGAGCTGCGGAAGTCCAAATTACGCGGCACCAGAAGTCATTTCTGGAAGGTTGTATGCAGGACCCGAAGTTGATGTGTGGAGCTGCGGTGTCATTTTGTATGTTATGCTTTGCGGGCGTCTGCCATTTGACGATGAATATATTCCAACATTATTCAAAAAAATTAACGGTATGTTAATTTCTTTTGTCTCAAGGATTTCTGGAAGAACGGTTTAAATTATAACATAAATTATTTCGGCATATTAATTAGGTGGTATTTATACGCTTCCTTCATTTTTATCACCCGAGGCAAAATATCTTTTGTCTTCGATGCTCGTCGTGGATCCCATAAAAAGAATAACTATTCATGATATCAGGTAGTTAAAAGTTATAATTTGTACTTAATCTTACATCTGATTTATTAATTAATATATTTTATTTCTCATTTAGACAAAATCCATGGTTTAATATTGGGTTACCTGATTATCTTAAACCCCTTCCTGAAAGTGAAGAGGATCCATTTGCTGAAATAGATAATAATATTGTGACAGAACTTCATAAGGTTTCATTTATATACTTTTCTGTGAGGTGATTTTTTCATTTAGGGAATATATGATTGACGATTTTATATTTGAATTAGAAAATGGGTTTTAGTAGGAATACTATATATCAGGCATTACAAGAGTCCGAAAACAATCAAATCAAAGTGGCATACCAACTTGTGGTGGATCATAAGCGTATGATTTGTGCTGGAAGAATATCCGGACAGAAAAGTTTCCAAAGTTTTCTATCAACGTCGCCTCCTTCATGGATTTCACCTCAGGTAAATTTCATCTTATATTTTATTACTATACATCATCGTTAGTATATCAATAATTTTTTTTTTTTAAAAAAAAAAAGAATACAAAGGAAAAAGAACGGATGAGTGAGGAAGTTGGTGACGCTCCTTCAAGTATCACAGTATTAAATTCTAGTCTGCCTCCTAATGAAGCATATTTCAGAGGTAAATAAAAATAAATCATATATAACTTTCCCTTTTCCTGATGAAAAAAAAAATTTGAGAATTATATTTAAAAATGGTTGAATTTATGTAGCAGGTAATGGTAATTGTGATAAAATGCCAAAAACACCGACTTTAAGAAAGAAATCCAGATCGAAATGGCACTTTGGAATTCGTTCGCGAAGTCCTCCGTTAGAAGTCATGCTTGAGATTTATCGTGCCCTAAAAAATTTAGGAATGGTAATATATCAATATTTCTGCAACCAGTATAATTCTTTATGAATGAGAAATTTATTTACAATTTGTTGTTAATAGGAATGGAAGACGATTGATCCTTTCCATGTTCGGTGTAAATATAATTATTCTAGCGGTTTACGAGCAAGTGTAAATATTTATTTCAAATAGCAATAATGAAAATAATAATAATTATCATGTTTCTAATTTTACCTATTTTTTTTTAAACTATCAGGTCAAGATAGATTTACAACTTTATAGACTTGATACTAATAACTATCTTGTTGATTTTAAAAATGTTGGATATGAGTTATCTACTAGTACCGATTCTACATCATCGTCGTTTTCATCACCTTCACCTTCACCTCTTACATCAGAATCAGATGCTTCATCATCATTATCATCCAATCAACAAGACAGTCATTATTCACACAAATTTGAAACTAATAACAAATTTTCCACACCTCCAATTTCTACCACAACTGTAAAAATGCTTCATCAACAAAGGACCAATGGAAAAGAAGTTACATCGATGTATCCATTTTTTGATGTATGCACGAAATTAATTACGGAATTGGCAATATCCGGATGAATGCTTTGTAACTTGAGAACATTTATTTAGTTTCCTTCCCTACTTTTTACTACATACTTTCTCCACTCTCAAAAATATTTAATATGGACAAATCCTATATATATATATATATTTGCTCATATTATTTTCTAACTTGATTTTTTATACCTTGCCTTTGAATTTTGTACTTTTATTTATGTAGAATAGAAAGATATAAATTTATATATTTATATTAGTTTATTTATTATTTATTTATTGTTTTGTACATTTTTTTTTCAAAAAAAAATCTAAATTGATAAGAAATGTAAATAAATTTTGATTATTTGACATTCTTATCAGTAAAATAAATATTAATAAAAATAAATAAAATTTAAATTGAGAACCATAATCATTTATTACATACCCTAAACATTAGAGAAATTCTTTGTCCTTTTGGTATTAAATTATTTTTAAATTTGTGTTGTTCGGGATCAATAGGAATTTCATGGGTGAAATTATATCTAATGGTATCTCTATATATAAAAAAAAATAACATAATGTGAAAAGATCAAATGATTTTAAGATGTTTCATGATTAAATTACCTTTGAATGTAAAGACTACCAGGTTCTAACAAAACAGAAAATCTGCATTCAGGATTATTTACATGTCTTAATATCATTACGGTGGGAGAAATTAAACAAATTCCTGCCACAATATTGCCGGAATACTTTTTTAAAAATGTTTGTTAAGAACAATCAATTTATCAAAAATAGAAGAATAAAATAACAAATTTGAATTACCTCAACATTATCAACATGAGATTTGATCCCACCAATCGATTCAGCCAATTCTAAAATATGTATAGGTAACCAATTAATCTCTTTAGGAAATAAGTTATAAACTTTTTGAATTAATAAATTATTGATTTCTCGTTCAATTTCATTATCACCACTAGTCCAACTAGTTACTTGACATTCTCTATAATTATGTATAATATGATCAAAATGTGAAGGTTGATATATCGTGTCTTTACCAAAAATTCTTTTTAATTTTTTTAAAGAATGAGTTGATAAAAATGTTTGTTCTTGTAATGTAAAATGATTTGGTAATAGGATGAAATCTGATAATGAAAATTTAGGTATTATGTCAAAAGTTTGAAGGTGAGTTAAATCATAATATGTTGATGAAGAAGAACTGTAACAAAAGTTATAAATAAATTGGGAACGGTTTAAAAGAAAACTAGTTGAAAATGAAATATTTCGTTTTTTAAATTTTTTAATTAAGGTTGAACGAAATTTGATCAAGTTTCTCATTTTATGAACCCGATAAATTTTTTTTTGGTAAATCGGAGATTATCAACGCATAAGCAAGGTCACATGGTCTCAAATTTTACACGAGTTCATTATGTTCATTAGGCGAAGTAATTTGCAGATATATAAATAGATCTAAAAAATTTTCCTTCATTCACGAAAAAAAAAATATTTTCGTGATTTTTCTTACTAAAATTTTTTTTTGAAAAAAAAAAAAAAAATAACCATGACTTCTTCAACTTCTTCACAAGAACAAATCTCTGAACAAACTCAAATCTCTAATACTCCAACAGAGAAAACAGCTTCCTTAGCGTTATCAGGTTGATAAAATAAACTATTTTTGCAGTAGATATTATTAAAATAATACATGAAACGTTTTCTTATCGGTTCTTTCTCGTTTTATCCGTTACTTTAGATGCCATAAAAATCGAAAATGATATAACTTCTGCAGAACCATCTAGTTCTGTACCTGACACAGGTAATACTAGTATAAACCATACCTCATATTAATATTCTTACTAATGAGCGTTTCAATGCTTCGTTTATAACTAGTCATCAAGGTTGAAAAGGACGCTATTGACCCAGAAATAAAATTAGGTAATTTTTTCATATCGCATAACAACGCGTGCAAAGTTGCATAATATGTTTTTTTGTGATTTATTAAATCCATCATAAACGCTATCTAATTTTTTATTATATTTTTTGTTTAATAACGAAATGATAGAACGCACTCCAGATCAGATTGAGGAAGAGAAGAAAAAAATATTGAGACAAGTAGAATATTATTTTAGTGATATGAATTTACCAAAGGATAGATTTTTAAATGAAGTAAGATCAAAGAACCCCGAAGGATGTAAGTTTATTTTATTATTCTTTCGACAATTATGAATGATATTATCGTTATTTATTTTTCTTTCTTTGCAACAAAATCATTCTCCTTTTTTGAAACAGGGATTCCATTGAAAATGATCTGCAAGTTCAAGAAAATGCAGGTCTACAAAGATTATAACTTGATCGTTGAGACGTTAAGAGGATCACCAAATCTGCTTGAGGTTGATGAGAAAGGGGAGCACGTCAGACGAAAGACTCCCGTCATGATTGACATCCCCCAACATATCAAAGATACTACAATTTGGAGATCAATTTACGTAGTAAGTTTTTATGAAACTTTCTTGATATACAACATGCTCGCATCTATTTAACATTCATTTGTTTTTATTTTATAGAAAGGGTTTAATAAAGAAGAGATTGATTCAAACTATGAGAAAGAAGTTGCATCCTTCTTTTCACAATTTAGTAAAGTTGAAAAATCTTTTGCGAGAAAAAAAGATGATGGCACTTACAAGGTAACATTTATTTTACTTTTTTATTTTTTTTTTTATTTTGTGAAATACAATCTTATTCGTATGACTTTCCTAAATTTTTTTATCCTAGGATTCTTTTTTTGTCGAATTCGTTTCACATGAAGAAGCAAAGAGAGTGTCGGAGATGGATTTAACATATAAGGACGCAAAGCTTAATATGATGATGAAGTAAGCTACTTTCCAATATGGATGTATTCTAGTAATATAATTTTACGTTAACCTTAATATCTTTAATAAATAGGTTTGATTACTGTGAAATGAAATGCATCGAGAAGGGCCTTGATCCCAACACCATGCGATTACAGAAATCTACAGTCAAGAAAGAGAAACGTCCTTATAAAAAATCGCCCTCCGGTTGTTTGCTACATTTCGAAGGTGCAGGTCCAAATTCAACTTACTCGACCATTCGGGTATGTACAAATCGAGTAATTGACCGTATCATGACTTTTTTTAAAAAACGATAAATGTAATGATATCATTATATAATAATTTAGACACAAATGCATAATGATTTTGGTGAAGTTAAATTTGTACAATACGACCCACAAACTTTATCCGGGGTTATCCAATTTGTTCAACCTATTGCCCATAAAGTTATCGAGTCTCCTTCATTTGAAAACTTGAGATTTGATAATGTTCAACCTAAACTCAGGGTTCTCAAAGGTTAGCAATATCTTTAATATATGGTTGATCTTAAATGAATTCTAATAAAAAATTTTTTAAAATAATAGATGACGAAGAAAAAGAATATTATCGGAAAAAAAAGAGTGATAAACTCGAAAGAATCAAACAAGGTAATGCACTCAAAGCTGAATATGGCATTCCTCCAGAAAAGAAAAAAGACAATGCCACCACGACCACCAAAACCACCACCAAGAACGCCCGAGGTAAAAAAGGACGCCGATTTAAAAATCGAAAAAACGGCCGAATTACAGAACATTCCCCATCTGAAGATTCCCCAACGGTTTCTGGAGTAAAACGTAAGTCCAACGAAGCCAACAGTCCTGAATTACCCGAAGAAGTGCGACCAAAGTCTCCCAAATTGGAACCCGTTGAGTGAAAAAACCAATTTCATATTACGGAAAAAAAAATTTCTGCACAATTAAAAATTTGTTTTTTTTAAAAAAAAAAAAAAGTATTAATCTTTTGCACTAATTTGTAAATAATACTTTCATCATAATAAATAATTATCTTTGCGATGATCTTAAAGTATTGCGTAAAATATTCTCTTCATGTAATGTCGAATCCAAAAAATAAAACCCAAAAAAAAATATATCACTTACATTTTATTGACCTTGTTCGTACGGGACGTCATGACATTAGACGCCAACGCATCATGGTCAGACATTAGGCGTGTCATATGATTGAAAGATTTTTTTTTATCTTACACGGTTGTATGACGAAGAATTATTATTAATTAATGGCTTAGTTGGAAAGAAATTCGAAATAATTGTATTTTGTATTTTTAACGATTGTAATTCTACTATTTATTAACAAATTAAAAATGACTCAAAGATTTTCAGCTTCACCCTCTCCAAGACCTGGAACACCTATACATAATCATCACTCGAACACAACTGGTACTACACCTTTACATTTAGATGTTGGTTGTAAAGTTTATGTAGAATTAAAAAAAGAAAAGATTGACACACAAGAATTTCGTAAAGCAGAAGTTTTATCAATTCGATCACATAATGATAAATCGGAATACTATGTACACTTTGTCGAGTTTAATAAGAGATTGGATGAATGGGTTGGTCTTGAAAGAATTGATTTATCAAGAGAAATTGAAAGACCGACTAAAAAAAGGAATGGTAAAAGTGGTAATCAATATAGAGATTCAGATACACCATCAAGAGTTGGTTCACCACTTAGAGAAATCACTGGTCGAAGTGGTGGGGTAGGATCTTCAGTTGGACAAAAAAGGAAAATTTCGGCATTAGAAGAAACTCCAACACCCAATGCTCGAGCAACAACACCGTCAACACCTTTAGCAGAAATTACGGATGATTATGAAGATGGTAGTACTCCAGGTAATGGAACCCCTTTGGGACCTTTAGCGGCCACATTTTCTAAAGAACAAGAAATTGAAAGGCTTCGTACATCAGGATCCATGACACAATCACATTCAGAAATTTCTAGGGTAAAGAATTTAGAAAGGATTCATTTTGGGGAGTATGATGTTGATACGTGGTATTTTTCACCTTATCCACAAGAGTATAGTGATGCATCAGTTGTATACATATGTGAATTTTGTTTATTTCATTACATTAGTGAAAAACAATTGAGGAGACATTTACAAAAATGTACAGTTAGACATCCACCAGGAAATGAGATTTATAGATGTGATGATATTTCATTTTTTGAAATTGATGGTAATAAACAAAAAAATTATTGTAGAAACCTTTGTTTATTGTCAAAATTATTTCTTGATCATAAAACACTTTATTATGACGTTGACCCATTTTTATTTTATATCATGTGTCAACAAGATGAATTTGGATGTCATATGATTGGTTACTTTTCAAAAGAAAAAGAAAGTACTGAAGGATATAATCTTGCTTGTATTCTTACTTTACCACAACATCAAAGGAAAGGTTTTGGAAGGTTATTAATAGCTTTTTCTTATGAACTATCTAAGAAAGAGGGAAAGGTTGGATCTCCTGAGAAGCCTCTTTCCGATCTTGGTTTATTATCATATAGAAGTTATTGGACTGAAGTTATCGTTGAACTATTATTGGAAACAAAAGAAAATAACGAAGACATTACAATTGAAGATATTTCTGCTAGGACCAGTATTGCTACTACTGATATACTTCAAACACTTCAATCTCTATGTGCGATTAAACCTTATAAAGGTCAACAGATTATTTGTTTAAGTGATGGTGTTATCGCTTCTTATCATAAAACTAAAGAGAAGCATAAGAATAGAAGGATTGATGAAAGTTGCCTTCAATGGACTCCTCCCCATTTTACCTCTAGTCAATTGCGTTATATTTAAATTTTGTATTTATTTTAATGATTACATGTTATTTATTAGAAAATTTTAAAAATAGCTGATTTGCTGTCTGAAAATCTTATTTAAATATAAATAAAAAATTTTTGATTTAAAAAGTTTATGCATGTACATGCATGCATGCGAATATAAATATTTTTAAAAAAATCAAAATAATTATGTAAAGATTAAATCATACAGCAAAGTCTCCAAAAAAATACTGACAACTTCAGCAATCACAAGAAGTTCATTACATGATTGCTTTGCAAAGAAGAGTCCCATATGTAGGTGCTCAAGAATAAGCATGACCATAAAAAGAATAAATATATAGAAATTACTTTAACATTTGCAACCCCAATATCGATATCAAATGTTACCAAATTACCATCATTAAGGTAGTCTATAAAGATGTCGCTTTTGTTTTTATAATTCTGTATTAAAAAATGGAAATGAATGTAAAATGTAATATAAAAAAGTGAATTAAAAGAAAAGAAATGTCGAGAATTAAAATATTTATATATATATTTCATATGATCGGCATTGGAAAAAAACCCCCCTTATAGATACAAAAAGGTCTTTAAGGTCTTTTCTATTTTGTTCCTCCATTAGTTTCATTATTGTCAGGATTACCACCACCGCCATCACCTTGATTAGCAGAAAACTGGCGTGCTCTATTTTTGACGAAAAAAAAAATTTAATATTATTATAGAAACATTTAAAAATCTTAACAGAAATGAAATACATACAAATTCGCTAGATTAGGATCATTCATCATCTCGTCCATGTTCGGTGGGTTTCCTCCTCGCATTATATTTTGCGCCCTAGATATAAAAATAAGCACCATTATTAATTATCTTACAAATCATACAATTATTTAAGAATTATTAATTACATTTCGGCAACGTTTGGATTATTCATTATATCACTGAGTGCTCCAGACTGCATCATTTGACGAGCCATATTCATCATTGCTGGATTATTCATTAAAGATGCAAGATCAAAGCCACCGCCACCACCACCACCACCACCACCACCACCGCCGGCGGCACCGGCGAGATTAGCAAGCCCGGCGAGACCTCCAAGTCCACCTAAACCACCACCCGCACCAGCACCAGCACCACTTCCTCGAGTGTTTCTATCGTGTGAGGCACCCCGTGATGGCCCTTGATCAGTTCTGAGTTCACTTGCTTTTTGTTCAGCGGTAGCAAGAGCTGATTTCATTGTAGGATTATTAGGATCAAGTGAAAGTCCTTTTTCATATGCTTCGACCGCATCTTTATATTGCTCGACAGAGAAATAAGCATGCCTTTTAAACAATAAATGTTAGATACGTTATCTCAAAGGAAATGAAAAAAAATCGATTTTATTCACTTACCCAAGCCTGCCGTACGCTTTGCTATAAGAAGGATCTATCTGTGATGACTTTATGGCATCTTCGATTGCCTTATGATGTTGACCTAATTGACTGTATGCTGCGGCTCTACACGCAATTTTAGTTATATCGTGCAATTAGATAAAAAATAAAAAAATACAAATTTCTAATAATTTAAAAACATTAATTATAATCCAACAAAATACCTATTTGAATAATATACAGCGTTATTTCCATTAATTTCAATGGCTTCACTATATAGTTTTACTGCTGCTTCGAAATCTTTTTCAGAAACTTTGCGATTACCTAAAAATCAATCATTATTTCTTTTAGTATGAAAGAAATAAACATTTCCAAATATCAACATACCCTCCGATTTTAATTCTTCCGCTTTTTTCTTTTGTTCCTCGGTAAGCTTCACCTGAAAATTAATTTGATATTTGGAAATAAATTTTAATCAACCGACATTCAGATTAACAGATAATCGATTGAAGAAAAAAGTCAATGACTTATAATTACTTTAGTTTCTGCTACAGCTATAATTTAATAATGAGAAGGTTTATTATTAGAATTTTTCAAAGAAAAATGGGTTTAGAAATATATAGTTCAAGTCATACCAGGCTGAGAAGGTACTGATCTTGTTGATGGCTGTAATATTCAATTCATAAATGATTTCAAATAAAGTTGTAAATTTAAGAGTAAACTATAGAATATTTAAAAATTCGAACCTTTATCCTCTCTTGAGCTTTGACTGCAACTTCAAAAATCGATAATAAAGGCGCTTTTGTCGCGTATGCAGATCTTTGTTCAGAATCTTCGATATTCACGCCAAAAGCCTCACCAATGCATTGTACTTTATAATAAAAAAATAAAGTTAGAAAATGTCTGGATTAATGCAAGAATTGCAACCACTCAAAGCGAAGTCGTACCTGCTACTTCAACCCCTTCCGTGTCCTCTTCTTGAATAGTCCCGTCCTTAATTGACTGTTGCAAAAACTGCAGAATTGAGAATACAAGACGTTTTTTTATATCGGACATAGTTTATAAATATATAAGGGAGGATATTAATATCCTTTAGTATAAATTAAATGTTCTAAAAAAAAATTTGCAAAATCTATTAAGTTTATCTCGAATTCGTTCTAGTATTTGTCATATATTTCAAAAAAAAAAAAATCTTGCCGATCGCAGAATTTTATAATAGGATCGACAAGGTGCAATAGAAAGGGGGGAAACTGCCGGGAAAAATAAAAATGAATGGAAATCATAAGATTAAAAAATGGATAAATCTAATTGTAACCATAGGTTAATATAATATTGGCGCAAACCAGTGCTTAAAATAGAAATCCAATTTTACCGGCCAAGAGTCCGGAATCTTATAAAATTTACCGGCTATATAAAATTT